AATGTCAACGAGTTCGTTCGTTTGGTCAACTTTAATTCAAAAGATTTATGGTCTTTTAAAATTTGCGATTGCGATATGTTTCGCGGTCTTTTAGTAATAAACAATGAAATGCCATTACTTATGTGCGTGCGTTACGTGCATGCATGCATGCGTGCATGCGTGCGTTGATAACGATCGTGTAAACATGTATTTACATTATCGAGTATAAACGTGCACTCTCGGATTTTGTTTTTTCTTTCGCCATATTGCGATTCCCTTATCAACATATGTAAATCTCAAACGATGTTTTCGTTTTACGTATTTGTAACAATTGTACAAGTTGATTACAAATTAATGAGCCAATTAAATATCTCATTTGTTGGAAATAATAAAAATGAAATATAAAAAATATGTTTGTGTATATATATATATATATATATATATATATATATACACACAAACATATTATAATATATATATATGTATACACGTACACACATTAATGATAAGAGAGTTAACGATTATCGTCAAAAGTTAAAATAACATTTTATTTGCTTACATTAGGAGAAAAAAAATATATATTTCTCCGGAAAGACTTTTGAAATGAAAATTTGTTTCGTTTGATGTGAAATATTCTGTGTAATTTAAAACAAATCATTTTATTCAGAAGCGAAATAAAACGCTTGACTTTTCGAGTTCGAACGAGTTTGTTCGATGATTTAAAAATTTTTTTCTTACAGTACACCCTGTATTGTTTTAATTAATGATATATTTTAATCGATTATCTTTAGAAATATTATTAAACAAATAAGTGTCAGTTTAAGGTTAATAATTGACGTGTTATTAAAAGTCATTAATGAAATTTTTCTTAATTTATAATCAATATATATATATATATATATATATATGTATATATAATTAACATTTTATTTGTTTACATTAGAAAATAAATATTTCTCACGAAAAATTTTTGAAATGAAAATATGTTTCATTTGATATAAAATATTCTATATAATCTAACACGAATGGTTTGATAAAGAAACGATTGATGGAAAAATTGTTTCATTTTATAATAACAATAATAATAGTAATAATAATAATAATAATAACAACAACAACAACAACAACAATAACAAATTATATCGATTTCGATTCAGAATATATAAGACAGATTTCAATTTTGTTTTTATCGTCGATTGAGTAAATGAATAAAAAAAAAATAAAAAAAAAAAGCGTTTCATTACATGATTACATAATGTAAATATATTGTCAAAAAAGTACATCAAAACTATTGGTTCTTTTATAATTTCTATTTTCTTTTCACTCAATTTTTTTTTCTTTTTTTATTTTTTCTTCTGAACGCGTATCCGATGATCCGATTAAAAAAAAAAAGAAAAAAAAAAAAAGAAAAAAAAATATTAATCCGACGGTAATTCATTCGAATAAAATGTCGTTTGAAAATGAGAGAAAAGAAAAATGAAAAAAAAAAGAAAAAAAGGATAAAAAGAAAAAAAGAAAATAGATAAAAGATAAATCCCTTTATACGTAATCAAAGATATAACGATTTGTGAAATAGATAAAGGATGAAATCGTTGTCTCTTCTCTTAACAAGCAACGAGATACAATAATTACGTTTATATCTACGGTGAGATAATTCTGTATAGCGAGTCTCACAAATTTATCTTAACTTTGGTCTCTATGTGAGAGAACTTGAAACAAAATTGGATAGAACGCCTTCAGGAAATTAAGTCTTTGAGGTGAAGAGATACGTATGTTCTGATGGTTATGAAAGTTGCCGTACCTTTTCTTTCGAAATTAATTATACTTTTCAAACAAGTAGAACGATATGAGAAAAGAGGTACGTGCATAATTAACTGAACTTTTTTCCCTTATCCTTCGTTCCTTGCTTTGTTTTTTTTTTCCTCCTTGTTATTTTTTTTTTTCTTCTTTTTTTTTTTTTTTTATTTTTTTCCTTTCATCCGACAAATTCTCCTGAACATCGTCAAAGATAGATAAAAGAGATTAGGTATTAGACGATAATGGATAATTTTCCTTTTTCTTTTTTTTTTTTTTTTTCTTTTTTCTTCGACGAATGTCACAACATTTTGAAAATAGGGAGATGATGCATTGAATAGCACGGCGTGTATAACGATTTTTATTTTTCTTTTTTCTTTCCTTCTTTTTTTTTTTGAACGGTGGAATTCAAGGAATTAATCGAACTTTTTTTTTTCTTTTTCATTCAAGAAATATTCTATCGTTTAGTTAGATGGATTAGAGATTAGATATTAGACGATATTGGATTTTATTGGTTTTTTTTTTTTTTTTTCTTTTTCTTTAATGAATGTCACAACATATTGAAAATGGGATATATCGGAAAGCACGATGCGTGTAATGATTTTTCTTTTTCTTTTTTTCTTTTTTTTTTTTTTTGTTTTCGAATGGTAAAATTCACACGAATTCGACGATAACGGATTTCTTCTTTTTTTTTTTCTTTTTATTTTTTTTTTCTTTTGACATATGT